GTCTGGGCTTCTGGCTGGCCAGTCCATAAGTGTGATGTTCACATCCCGAAGATATTCCCTGACGATGCCGGCCGCATGGGCTCTTGCATTATCATGCATAAAAAGGAAAGGGCCCACATAGTCCGCGTATGGTATCACGTGAGGTTCTAAGCACTCACGAATGTACCTTTCAGCATTTAATGTTGGCAGCCGTGGTCCTGTAACAACCTCAAGTTGAGTTTTGCCGCTCGCGGATATACCACCCCAGACAGTCCATGAGCCACCGCCATAAGCAACCCTCTCTTCAAAGCAGCATTGTGCGAAACGCTCTCCCTTACGTCGGTAGACCTTCTTCCTTCCATCATTACCATATAACACAATTTGAGACTCATCAGAAAAGAGTACACGGCTCCAATCTTGCTGTGTCCAATTTAAATGACTACGTGCGAAATGAAAGCGCGCTGTTCGGTGGGCTCGCGTTAGTTTGGGCCCATTAGCTGGCTTGTGTGCATTCTCCGAACAGTTCGAGCGCTCACAGATACTCCGTGGAAGTCGCGAATTTGTTTTTGTATCTCAATGGGGGTAAGGTAACGATTTCTCAAGCTGGTCGTCACGATGAATCGATCCTGCCTTTCAGTTGTGACCCGAGATCGTGCCTTCCTTGGCGACGAACAAAGCCGCCAGTCTCTAGGTACCTCCGATAAACATTTCGGACCGCAGATCGACTTAAATTAAGTTGAGCACTCACGTTTCTTTGGCTGTGTCCGGCCTGAATAAGTGCCACAGCTTGGGCGGCGACTTCAGGTGAAGTATCCATAGATTATTGATAGAATCTCACCTTAATGTTAAGAATAAGTAATGTTTGTTGCAAAACCAAAGATATCAATCACTTTTTCAAGAATTAAATCCAAGTAAACCAATAAAACATACCACGCAAAATAGGCACCAGATGTCGAGTTGCGGAAACAGCCCGCCGTTCTACTAAGACTAAGACTAAAAACCAATAAAACCAAGTTTTCTTAGTATTCGATTGTTTGATATCAACAAACAGGCTCCAAATTGTCTTTTGTTTCTTTAAATTCTGTGTTCGAAATTCAAAAAAAGACTATTGAATGAAATTTTGAATGTGCCAGGTTCAAAACTGCATAAAAACTTTTTGCTCGACCTAATATAAAATTTTAGCTAGGACCAAACGAAACTGAAAATACAAGGTGGGCCAATAGATGTGTCCAGAAGTGTATATTAGGTATAATAACATATTACATGGCCCTAGAAATGTTTATAAAGGAACAATGCAGGGCTCCCCAATATCTCCGTTATTATTTGGGGTTTACAAATCTCAAATTAGCAATTATCTAACAGATTCATCAGTAAGATGCCTTCTTTTTGCTGATGATATAGTTGTATATAGTGTAAATAAAGATGTAAATAGTGTTGTTAGAAACCTAAACAATGGTTTGTCACAAATTCAACGTTTCTATAATAGTTTGAACCTCACAATTAACATTGAAAAAAGTGGAGCAATGATTTTTTCAAGGAAACATGTAGATATAGATAACTTTTCTCCAGTTTTGTTCAATAATGTACCTATAAGATGGCTGCATAATCAAGGGCGGATCCAGCTTTGGCGCCAGGGGGGGGGGTCATATAGCCAGCTTTGGCGCTAGGGGGGGGTCATATAGTCGTGGTATATTAAATATTGTAAGTACTTAAATAAAATCCCCCTGTGTTTGGTCCATCTGTACCCAGCCCAGGGGGGGGTCATGACCCCTATGACCCCCCCCCCTGGATCCGCCCTTGTGCATAATAAGAAATTCCTTGGAATACATTTAGATTCAAAATTAACATTTGAACTACATATTAATCACTTGATTAAAAGCGCTAGCCAGGGACTAAATATCTTACGATCTCTGGCTGGTGTACACTGGGGCTCTGATCCCAAAATTCTATCAATGATTTATAAAAGTAGTTAGAAGCCACTTTGATTACAGCAGTGTAGCATATATGAACACCAATGTTAGTCTTTCAATAATCCAAAACAGAGTATTGAGAATTATCACTGGTGCCATGTGTTCTACCCCAATTAATGCAATGGAAGCTGAATCCTGCATAGTTCCTTTAAAAATAAGAAGGCTACAGATTGTAATGAAATTTTGTCTTAAATTATTGGCATCTGATAATAATTTAGTATTAAGTAGAATTTTACCAAGTCAAAACCTCCCTGCAAGTTTGACCAGCAATACTGAGATAAGTGTTAATTAACTTATCTCAGATCACTTCCCCGAAATGATAAAAATTGAATTGAATATAAAAAACAGCTGCAATAATGTACAAATTTCAAAACCTTTACCCATTTTTTCTTCAAGTTATGAAACAATAAATAGCAGTATTAATATTGACTTGGAAAAATTATCTAACCAAACTGAATTCTTGCAATATTTACATGAACAGATGAACAGAGAGAAGATGTTTATACTATGTATACAGATGGGTCCAAAACATTAGTTAATGTAACTTCAGCATTTTATGACTCTCAGACTAAACAAACTTTTTGTGTGAAATTAGACATTGGATGGGTGGTCAAAAATTTACTATCTCGAGCTCCTCCGTGCTTCGGAAGGCACGTTAAGCCGTTGGTCCTGGCTGCATCTGCAGTCGTTAGCACCCACCAAACCGCACTGGGCCTGCGTGGTGGGTCATGGCCCAATCTTCCTAATCCATCCATAGGGAAGGCTTATAGGTGTAGTATTTTTACTGCAGTGCTATGTCATTTTCAGAACATTATTGTATATAATTAATGTAAATAGTTTGAATTTTTTAGTTGTAACTGACAGTAAGAGTGTCTTGCTAGCTTTAGAAGGTAATTTACAGAAATCCAGTACAAATTATATCTTGATTAACATTAAGAAGTTGTTAATAGATTTAGGAAACAGAGGCAAAAGAGTAATATTTAAATGGGTACCTTCACATTGTGGAATAACTGGCAACGAAGTGGCAGATGGTGCGGCCAGAGGAGCATTTGATGAAAATCAAACTGATGCAGTCAAAATTCCAATATCAGACTTCCACCAGCAGATAAATGAGTCGGTCACTTTGCTGTGGCATTCCTATTGGAAGAAAATAGCAGAAGTAAAAGGGAAATGGTACACTGCTATACAGATCACCGCGCTGCTAAGGCCATGGTATCATAGAAGCAAAGTCACCGATTCAAGAAACTTTATCACAACAATAAACAGATTACGATTTGGACATTGTAGAACACCGGCTAGGGATATTCGATATACATCGATGCATCGAAAACATCGATCTTTGCAATGAAAAACATCGATACGATCCGATGTTTTGAATAGCTTTCAATATACTCGATGCATCGATGTTTTAAAGAAACATCGAATTGGTAATAGAGTTTGACCACGTAGTGATTAGCTTGCTACATATATAGTGATCTGTGGTAGTGATAATATCCTCTTCGGTTTGACCTCAGTAAAAAAAAAATGGTTGCCTGTAAAGTCGGTTTTACGGGCGAAGATTTTACGTGACAACGTCTTTTTCACGGTAGAATATTTATTGATATGAATATAATTAAATTGCACAATAGGAACAAGGAATTGAATGAAAATAAGAATTGCACAAATTTTAACTATAGAAATATATTTTGTTTACTAAAACATTGTACATGTAAACTTAAACTTAACACGAGAGACTCATCGTAACGTTACCGAGCGTTACACTTTTTCATAAGTGACTCCCAGCCGCAACCTAATTTAAGACGTTGTCACGTCAAAACTTAAATTGACCACTAAAATTTTACTTATTACTATTATGAAAGCATCATTATTCTGAATTCTCTGATATGGACCCGATGTTGGCAGCACTGCGCAAGAGTCAGTGCAGTGACAATAAAAAAATAACTACGAGTTTCTATGTTTATAAACATTTAACAACCTTTAGTTTTGTGAAAGAAATTAAGATTGAAGTATATTTCTAATATCCTTTTGACAGACTTAGCAAACATTTTGCGGGTTATTTAGCGTTTTTTTATATGATCATTTGTAAAAATATGATTCAGATTTTTCTGACACATGACTTTTACTTGTATTTAGTTTTACCTACTCATGATGAAAGGAGTTAATTCTAGTATTTTATGAAAGATTAATATATAAACTATAATAAAATTATGGATTAAGATCTTTTCATAAACTTCAATTGTATTTTTTTTTACTATGAAAAGATGGCCTCTTTTGAGATGGGTCACTTTACACATAAGTTGAGTTTTGTAATAAAACTTCAGAAAAAGTACTCGATGTTTAAAATACATCGATGTTTTCATCCGATACATCGAATGACATCGATGTATAGTTGCGATGTATCGAATCAAAAAATACATTGATGTTTTTTCAGAGTGGACACCCCTAACACCGGCCCATTTAACACGATTACGGATTACGGATAATGCAAACTGCACATTTTGTCCAGGAGAAATAGGAGATTTAGAACATATTATTATGAAATGTCAAAAGTTCAACGTATAACGTTTAATTTTAATATCGCAACTGCAAAATATCTGTGAAACTAATGATTGTGACATACCAACAGAATTGCATAAACTTTTAGGGAACCATTTATTTTATAAACCTATATTTAATTATATAAGTAACACCGTAGATAAATTGTAAAATGTAAATAATTAACTAATATATTTTAAGTTGCATGTTCTTAGTAATAAGCTAGGCATAAAAACAATGTATACATTGCCAATAAATAAAAAAAAAAATGGTTCGTCCAAAAATTGCTTTTAATAGATAAATATAATCCACAGAGTACCTTATTATAACCTTAAAATCTTAGCAAACAGTGATAAATGGTTATATTCTATGTTGTTTCTTTAATGTGTTCTATTTTAATAATTAAAACAGTTAATTATTCATTAAAAATAAAAAAAATCGAACTAGAACTCTACATAAAATATTGTGTTTAATTTATTAGAATACGAACGAACAACTTCAACGATCACTGATTGATGAACGTTCAGTTGACGTCATTTTAACAAAATTTAACAGCAATAGAAAACATTTAATTGTAGTCGGAAGAAAACATCAGCTTTTCTGTTTCTTCTTAAAAACTAATACCAACCACTATTTTCGTAAAATGGCATCGGCGCCTGATACCAAATCACAAGAAAGCGAAAGTTTAAGTGAAGCACCTGGTTTTGAAAATGAGGTTTCAAATGTGATTAGCCCTGTAAATTTACTACTAATCGCGATAATAGGCTTTTTGCTATATAAAATATATTGTAAATTCACAAAGTCATCCTCGGATACTGTGTTGGTTGAATTACCGAAACTTCGGAAAGACATGACTGTGGCCGAACTTCGACACTATGACGGTAACCAGCCTGATGGCAGAGTTTTGGTTGCTGTTAACGGTTGGATATTCGACGTGACTCGAGGACGTCGATTTTATGGCCCCGGTAAGTATAGTTTGATCCGTTTATATTTATAAATAGACCTGACACAAGTGACTCATTTTATGCAAACAAATAATTTGCATGGTAATTTTCTTTGAATGTTAACAGAAAGTCGCTTTATTCAATGGTAGCTCTGCGCTTGTATGTGATTTTTTATTAGGAGTACCTCTTGTTGTTACACCAAATATTGTGTCCGCATGAAAAATGTGTGAAGTAAGCAAATTATATTTTTACACTTAAGCAGTATACCTAACAAGTGCAAATTAGCTTTGTTTAAAGGTTTAAAACCAAAAGCTAATTTGCACTTGTTTATATTAAACAGCAGCAGTAATGTTTGTTTCTGTTTCTTTTGTAAATTCTCTTAGATATACAATGGAACCATGCTAGAATCTGTAGAGGCTGCCATGATTCCCTAAACTTAAATCTTAATTTAACATCAGTCTCCTTTTTTCATTCTGTATATAGGGTCAGTTGGCCTGTTCGCGTCCATCGCCCAATTCGCGCCCATTTTATGGATCTCCCTTAAAAAATCCTCAATCATAAGTAAATTAACACATCAATTAAACGAAAAGTAATTACCGCTAATACCTTAATATATAATAGGCACGAACACATGGTCAAAAGGTAGGTGCGTAAACAATCCCGTTTAAAAAAAAAAATAGTCTCGGTTATTCATCAAGGCAGTGCGTATGTTTAGATAAAAAATAGTGCGCAGCGGCGCGTTCGATGGTAAGATTTTTATTTTTTTATGTTAATTTTAGGATACATAGCTGTTTCTAGACTTTTATAGTGAAGAAAGGTATGATATTAATTATAATTTGTCTTATGTTTTTATATTTAATAAATAAAATAATGTGGACGCGGATTACTACACGAAATTACAAAACTTCCAATTTGTGTCTGCAATGGAGGCAAACTAAACCTACAGTGGATAATAATAAACCAAATTGCGTCCACTATTTTCATTAAATACAATTAATTAATTATAGTTATGATTTTATTTATTTTTTAAGCATTTAACTGCTAGATGTTTAAATCTAAAGAAAAGTTTACTAGAAAAAAATCCACGCGGACCAGGCAGCGGACGGGACTCGAACCCGCATCCTTCGCTATCCGGGCGAATGCACTGACCATTATGCTAGACTGACCATTAGGGCCGTGGTAGCATAATGGTCAGTGCATTCGCCCGGATAGCGAAGGATGCGGTTTCCAGTCCCGTCCGCTGCCTGGTCCGCGTGGATTTTAATTAATTATAATTTAAAATATAGGTGATTATTATTATCATACATTTTTATTAAGACTATGTGTTTATAATGTTATTTTTAAATGAAATGAGTAATTTCAATCAATCAATCAAATACTTTATTTGTTTCATTCTTATTTTTTTCTATTTGAGATGAGTTCTTAAGAGACAAGAAAGTAGAAGGAAAAGAGAATATACACAGAAGACGATTTAAAGAAAGCGTTAAATGAAATTCGACAAAAGAATAAATCGGTAAGACACATAGACATATTGTACAAAATCAGTGGGCGCACACCAAATGAAGTAAAGAAAATGGGACCAGACACCACCTGATGCTACCGGAAATGTCTAACAAAGCAGAAAAGGTAATCAAAGAACTCTAGCAACCATATCTTTTGCTGCATGGAGTAAGTATTAAGAAGATAAAGAGCAGATCAAGAACGAAAAGCAGGAAGCAATACGAAAAAGAAAGTTTATAACACTCAAATGGTTCGTAAAACTGCTCCAAAACGAAAGAAGAAGGTGCATGCTCTTCAAGAACTCACACAGGAAATAGTAAATCAGGAATTTAAGAAAGATTTTTTTCTGAATGTCACGATATACTAATTTCAGATGTAGAAGGCGACGATGAGAAAAACATACCTTGTGATTTTAGGGTAAAATTAACAAAACTGATTACTGTTTATTCTTAAAGTTGCAATCATTATTTACCTACTACTTATATAATTTTAAATTCAATCAATATTGAGAAGAATATTTTTTATTTTTAAAGGTGATGATTTTAATGATAATAATGTTGGTTTTAATATTTATATTCTAAAATAAAGAAATTGTTAAAATAGGTACAATATACAAGGTCTATACAAATTCTGAAAAATATCACCCCTATATTCCTTTTCTAAGGTGGTGGACGCTAAATGGTCCACGGGTGGACGCAATTTGGATTTTGTGGACGCAAAGTGGGTAAAACGCCTTATTCCGAAGTTTATCTATTTAAATAAAAAACAATAGATGTTTCGAACAAAACTGAAAGTTAATCTTAAAATAGACTATATAATGAACACATTACATACATTTTTCATAGAAATTAGTGCTGTGATATTTTTATTATCGCCGTCAAACTTTCCAACTGCACTAAATGGACGCGAACAGGCGAACTGACCCTAGAATGACAAGGATACACTTGTCAATTTAAGTTTATCTTTAGAGAATTATACCAGAATCGACACTACTTTTGTCAAATTTAATTTTAAGTTTAAAGAATCATGCCAGATTTAAAACAAATATTAAGCAGCTTTCCATGACTCTCTTATACTTACTTATCTTAACATAGTGTAAAACAAAGTTCACACTGTGTGTGCTTAAATATTTTTAACTACACAAGAGATTTCAACACAGTTTTCAGTAATAGATTGAATTATTTAAGAAACAGGTATATAAATTACACAACTGAGAATGTAAACTATAGTTTTCACCAAATGGAAAGGAAGGGTAGGTCAATACTCATTCATAAATTTAGTTACATAATAATATGCATTTTGGACAGCATATAGTTTGAGTCTAATTTGAAACAGGCTTATATTTCTTGTATAACATGTGACCACTATTTTTTTACAACACCTGTTAACTTTTCATTGACAGTCTGGTTACAGGCTATAAAGATTTTACACTTATGATTTACATTGGCATATTTAAGAAATAAAATCTCGTATGGAGATACAAGTGTAGTGTACAATATTACAATTTCTTAAAAATCAGCAACTGCAAGTTAATATTCACCCAAAACTGATATTATCATATTGTTTCACAGGTGGCCCATATGCAGCTTTTGGTGGCAAAGATGCTTCAAGAGGTCTTGCTACATTTTCAGTCACATCATCTGATAAGGAATATGATGACTTGAGTGATCTGAATTCAATGGAGATGGAATCTGTCAAAGAATGGGAGGCACAGTTCAGAGGTAGGATTAGCACTGCTAAACTAAGTAGTAGTGGTGGCTATTTTAACAGCTACTCTGTTTCGCATGGGTGAGGCTAGCAAGAGGCTAGGTGTGAGGTTTATTTGTTGTTGTGCTGTGTGGCTATAAATTGAAGTTTTGCCTGCATAAAAAAAGGTTACATCAAAGTATAAAAAAGTATTTATAAATAAATATTTCTAACACTCACACCTAATAGCCTAGCCCCAAAGTAAGCACTGCAAGGCTGCTGTTATGGGATACTAGGATAACAAATAGATTTTATATACTGATAGTTATTGTTACATGGCAGGTACTGAAATTTTATGCCTGTTCATGCTTGGCAGTTTTTTATTCACTAAAAATTCACATTGCGTGTTCTGGTGAAATCTGTATTCCAATAATTTCACGGTTTTGGTTTAAGGGCGTTTGTAACAGTATATTTATCTAGAAATAATGTAACGTGTTAAAAACGTCACATGAGTTTTTTTTGGTTGAGGAGAGAGATAGAAGGCCTTTGTTTAGGTTGTCTCACTCGTTTTCCTTTATATTGTTTTTGTTAGTCCATACATTTTTTTTTATTATCTCTGGCTTAACAAGGTTTTATCTAGACTGATTCCTTTGCTTGCATTTTGGAAGGAATAAAAAAAATAAAATTTTAACGTCACACACATAATTATTCCATTTCAAGATGTAATCTTATTAAATATAAAGATAAACGTTAAAGTTTATCAATGATTTTTATGGTGTTTTTCGAAATTCAAAAAATGTTTTTTTTTAAATATTTTGGTAATTAACATGTACATTTCGTTTTAGCAGAAGTATGTCTCCTGCTAAAACGAAATCTACAGTTTGCCTTGATGATGGCTGTCGGCCTGTTCATTTAATTTCTTTGAAAATTGGTGAGAACCTTCAAACCATTTCTTTTGTTTTGTGCTATGTGCTAATTTGCGGACTGTTTTTTTTCAGCCGTAGGCATTTTTTTTTACTATAGAAAATTTTATATTGGACCATGCAATAACCCTTTGTCATTACAAGAAAGCGAGGCCTCTACCTTTATATACCTTCAACTCAGAACAAAGATGCAGCGGGGACAGTCTTCTCTTCTTCTTCTTCTTCTTGCTACGGGCGTTTCCGCAACTCGACGTCCTTATGGCGCCTGTTTTGCGTGAGCAGGGTGTATGGCCGGAATCACTCCAGCCAGCCCAGCTCCGCCAGGAAGGCCCCCAGGGCCTTCACGTTGGTGACTGCCTCTTGAAGGTTTCCCGGTGAGCTGAGGTATTTCGCCATTCGGCATTCGGCCACTCCGTTGCATTCCAGCAGAACCTGAGTAGTTGTTTTTTCTGCTACTCCATGCATCCTCTGCATAGGGGGCTGACCGTAACACCTATGTTGAAAAGATGTCTGTTAAAATGTGCATGTCTAGTAATAGCACCTGTTAGCATGCGCAATGTGGGTTTGCTTAGCTGTAGGAGAGTTTTGGAGAAGGCAGCGTTCACCCGTGGCAAAGCGAGCTTGGTCTGCCTGCACATCTCCAGATCGAGCCAGTGTTGCTGGTGTAGTGCGGCTGTGTGCTCGCGGATTTTATCGACGAGACAGCTTACCGGTATCGGGACGATTGGTTCGGGACCTGTTGGGGTCGTATCGGATCCCTTCCGGGCCAGCTCATCCGCAGCGTCGTTTCCGCGTGATCCACTGTGTCCCTTGATCCATTGGATGGTAATAGAATTGCTTGACCCTACCGTGTTTAAGGTTTGGTGGCATTCTTGTAGTAAGCTCGATTTGACTAAACAGGCATCTAGAGCCTTTCTTGAAAGGATCGCTCTTGCCGCCAGTGTGACATTCAGCTTGGAAAACTGTGTTGTACGGGCTTAAGGGAAAAGCGATGTGTATATTGAGGTCCTCAGAGAAAACACCCGCGCCCATGCCCGATGAGGTTTTAGAGCCGTCGGTGTAGATCATGAGAGCTTTGTGTGTTACCTTTGGATCGTTGTCATCCAGTAGAAGTATTCTGTACTTTTTGTCAAATATGAAGGCGGGTATTATTTTGTCACATGCCGCATCTATGAGCGGAGTGTTTACCCATTCCTTCAGTATACCGTTGAAATGCCTTGCTCTTTCGAACCTTACCAGTCCAAACTTTTGTAGTCTCAACGCTGTTTTAGCCGCTTCCTGTCTTATGTAGATATGGAGCGGTGTGATGTTTAAAATAACTTCCAGTGCTGCGGTTGGAGCCGTACTCATGCACGCGGTCACCGCGCTGCATATCTGCCACTGAAAGCTTTGTAGTTTGTTGACACAGGTCACGGAGTACCCCCACTAGAGTCCGCATCACGCAAATTTTGTTTGAAATCAAAATCGCCAAAGTCGGCGGCGTGTAGGGAGATCAGCCGCGTTGTGATTGGACACGTCAAGGTCAGATGATATACTCAGTGCAGCGAAGTGATGAGGGTAAGATCGATTTTAGAAAATATCGATATTTTCTATCGATAAATAAAGGACACCCGACATTATGTGCCAAAGTTGTATACTTTTTTAATTTTTTTATCTGTGTTTCATTTTCAGACTAGTAACTACATACTAAATAAAATATAAGCAACACAAAAAACACGTAAAAAAAATATCTAGATAGAAAATAATATGCTGTTTATGACAACTTTTAAAACTTAAGGCGCCTTACTCATCGGCTCGGTACAGGTTCGTTTTGTTTGCGGGAGTGACTGTCAGTGGTAAAGTGACGAGAACATATGTAACTGTTTACAGTTGGAGTCCAATCTTTACGTTTAGTTGCACTTATCCAAAGTTCCTTCATCTTGGCACATTTTGGAAACCTATGAAATAAATAAAACACGTAATGTTACTGTATTTTGATTCTCGCATCAGTCTGTAAGATATCACCTTAAATATCTCTTTAAAGATTTTGCTCGTTGCTGTTCTCGTGAAAGGCACATGCGATATACAGACTTAATGAATTTAATATTAATACGGTGACGTCCGTGGCTCTTGACTTAGCACACGCAAAATAACCTAAGTATAACCAAATTATTGATTTTGAAGGAACTTGGTAAATACTTATCAAATTTTATGCTAGCTACCACCCGCGACTTCATCCACGTTAACTTTAGTTTTTTGAAAATCCTAAAGAAACCTGACATTTTTCCGTTACAAAAAGTATTCTATACAACGATATTTTATACCCTAGATACGACAACATGTACAAAATCGTGGCCGAAACGTGACCAAAAGGTACATTTGACGATTCACAGAGGTCCGTAAGATGATCGCGTGGTCAAAAACAATGTAATGCATTATTTAAAAAAAAGTCACCTTTAATGCATACGGCATAAGCTCTTAATTAAAACGCATGCATCAAAAATTTATGGCACTTCAAAATGCAAGTTCCTAAAATTTTACGACTTATTGTTATATGCGAAAGAAAATAGACCTTATTTTTTTTTACTTTTCGCGCTCAATTCTGAATGTGCTGTTAGCTATTATAGCAGGTACAGACCGCGAAGAAAAAAGACGGCTATAGGGCGACGTATAACCGACCATGCTTTTGAGTATCACAAATATGTTATATTAAATCAGTTTATAGTAAGTATTACAATAAAATTTGCTTCAAATGCGTTAAATTTATAATAATAATAAAAACGTTTATTTGGCTCAAATTATATAAATAACTTATTGTATTACATAAAGATGACTATGTACCAAATTATAAAAACATTAATTAGATACCTGTCGAAAAAACAACACTTTACGTACTATTAGTATTTTTTTCGCATTTTTACGGAGCTCTGCGGCATTTTGACTTTTCATCGGTCCGCGCGTGACTGTAAACCAAGAAGTGCTTGAATAAAGTTTAAGCACTTCTTGATTGGGACACATTTTGAGCGCTCGTGGTCTATCTAGGGTATTTAATATCGTTAATTCCATGTCTTTATCTAGGTCATAAAGTATGCGCACTTAATTTCATACAAATCGGTTTAATCGTGTAATAGTAACAAACATCCATACAAATTTTCGGGTTTAAAATTTTAGTACGATATGATTAAAAACTGTTGGTTGTATACTCATGATATCTGTTATTGTATACGATGAAATAAATAGTTTTTATTTTTTCTATTTCCGTAGCTGACAAACTTATCGATAAACTTACGGGTACAGACATGAGCTGCGTCAAGTCACTAGCAATACACGTGCCGGTGTGAGAGCGGAATAGCATATATGATGTAGCGCATGCGAGAAAGGGATAGTGTTAAAAGACATCAACGCGTTCACCAAAAAATAAATACAATTAAAAGCAATTTCATATAAGAGTATTTTTGTCTTTTTGTAATGCATTTAAACTTACCGGTGAAAAGTAATACCATCTTTTTGAAGACTGGAAGTTTTACTCCACTTTCCACATAATTTAATTGCACAGTACGGCATTTTTTCTAGTTTTTTAACGCAAAAACTTAGAGAAGCACTTCTGCTAACGCTCGGCTTCGGAATGAAACGATGTATAGCGACGTCTGTGGGCGTGTCTCACGCATACGTAATATACTACTTAAGCTTGGCGTAAGCGCTTGCCCTTGCATGCGGACTCTAGTGGGGGTGCTCCATGACACAGGTAGTCTGGATAGATTTCGGCCACCATATGATGGCGCCATAACTTACCATTGGTCGTATGACTGTGTAATATAACCATAGGAACAGTTTTGGTGCAAGGCCCCAACGCTTCCCTAACATTTGACGGTATTGCCAAAGTGTTACGCTGGCTGTCTTGATTTTGTGTTCCACATGGTTACTCCAGTTAATTTGCTGTCAAGTATAAGGCCTAGATACTTTACCTCCTTCGACAGTTGTAGTGTGGTACCAAACAGCTTCGGCAAGTTGAAAGCACCTACGTCACGTTTGGTTGTAAACATTACCAGCTCTGTTTTAGTTGGATTAACTGTGAGGTCGTATTTCCTGCACCAGCATTCAACCAGTTTCAAAGCACCTTGCATGGTGTTACAGGTAATGCTGGCGTGGGTGCCTAGGGTAAGTATAGTAATGTCATCTGCATACCCTATGGTGTAGTGGTGGTTCGAGTTTAGCTTGGTCAGCAGGTTGTCAACTACGAGGAGTACTGTGTCGAGGTTACACAGAAGTGGCGAAAGGACCCTTCCTTGCGGACATCCTCGTGCCACCAGTGCTCCTCTGCTGTCCTCACCTTTTACCCGAACTATTCTATTGCGAAGCATGTTAACTGTCTAGTCAATGATTTGTTGCTCCACTCCGTGTCTTCTGAGAGCAGACTCAATGCTGGTGAAGTTGGTCTTATCGAAAGCACCCTCTATATCGATGAAGGTTCCGAGGCAGATAAGTTTATTTCGAAGGGCTTCTTCTCTCTTACCGACTAACTGATGGGGAGTCGATTCAGTAGATTTACCTGAACTGTAGGCATGTTGGTGCTTATGAAGTGGGGCATTGATTAATGCTCCACTGCGTAGGTATCTGTCGCATAGCCTTTCCATTGTCTTAAGTAAGAAGGTTGTTAGGCTAATGGGCCTGAAGGATTTTGGGTTAGTATAGTCGGTTTTACCCGGTTTGGGTATGAATACTACAGTTTGTCTATAAAGTCGTGACATGAATGTTTGAGGAACTAACATTATTCATGTGTCTGGCAACACCAAACTTATGTACATCAGCTGTCATCGAGTTTGAGTTGTGGAACAGTTTTCCTTTTGTATTTTTTATTGTTTTGATTAAACTGTAATAAATTACGACGAAACAACGCAGAAAGGTATAAAAATGAGTGAAGTAAATTGGAGTGGCACGCGAGAAGTGATTTTTAAAGTTTTCCAGCGATGTTTCGCGGAGTACTAAGCTGGACGAATTTTGTGGGATTTGGTTGATGTTTATGGGCGAACAGCACCTATGACGGGTAAGTAATCGTGTTACTATTTGTTTGTAATTTGCCTGAAGTAACAAATTTACTCAATTTACGATTTTGAGACCAAAACAGGCATTGTTTACATTGCACATTTTTAGGTTAGATTGACATTGTAAGTAGGTAATTTTGTAGTACGACTATTTCTTTTGATACGTTGGGATGGTACAACTCAGTCAGGTTTTCTACCAATTTTGAATTAATTGCTTCATGTCAATAAGTTATTGTTTCTATTCCATTACATATTGTTTAACTTTTTTTTTCAGGAAAATTCTGATTTTCCAGAATATAGAGTACAGTTTGGCGGATAGTCAACAAAGGTTTTGAGAATGATGGAAAGTTTGAAACTCCTGGGAAACAAAGGCAAGGCCGACCAAAGAAAGAAATTAACGATTTATTTTCCCACCAGGTCACAGAGAACCATGGCCAGATGCCAGCTGCTTTTAGTGAAGATACCTATCACTAATTTTACTAACTACATATTTACAAATTGTTTCTCTAAATAAACTTTTTATCTACTATAAAATGATTTTTAATATTATTTTCTTAACAAGTGTGATAAAAAACGTCGTATGATACACGTGTGTAATGATGATTACCAACCTCGGCCCTCTTAAGACACTCACCTAACGGTTGGTCTCAATGTCGCCTCAGCGGTAATCACCAACATTACACACTTGTACACAATAATGTACTATTTTATCTATAATAATTTTATTCTGATTCAATTAAATATGCTTGGTAAAACTTTTTATAAGCATAGGTACCTACTGTATATAAAACAGAAACAAAATATGACTGTATAGTGTGTCTTAATTATTTTTTTTACTTGAATGAACTGCTAGTATCAAAATCATTTTGGTCAGACTGTATAGGGTTGCTACTTGCATACTGAAGCGCCATCATTTAATGTCACGACTTTATAGACAAAGTGTACCTTGACCTCCCTCCACAGATGTGGAGTGTACCGATGAGCCAGTCATGATCTTAATATGCGAGTAGCCGCATCGACCACGTCCTGTCCGCCCCATTGTAGTAGTGCTGGAAAGATGCCGTTAGAGCCAGCAGACTTGAAAGGAGCAAAGTAGTTGATAGCCCACTTTACTCCCTCAGCCGTAGTTACCGTCTCTGCTAGTCTCCAGCATCCTTCTGTTGTACTTGGAGGTGCATCTTACCAAGTCACCTGCTTTGTAAACTGGCAGTCCGGAAAATGGGTTTCCAGGAGGATAGCGTCGCAGTGAGCCCGATTATGGGACAATGTGCAGTCAGGTCGACGCAGGCTTCCCAGCACGCCAGGGCCTTGCTTGGCCAGTAATTTCCTTACCCGGTTTGCCTGATTGGTGGAGCTTATCTCCTCGGTGCAGTTCCTCCAGGAGGCTGTTCTCCAGTATCTGATACGTTTCTTGTACTAAGCTTTAATAGCATGTAATCATTGCTCTGTCAAGGCACTTCTTCACCTTTCCTCTCAATCTCTCGAGCTCCGGCCCCCACCAGTGGTGTTTTCCGGATACTCTCGAGTTCGGGAGTTTAAGGGGGCAGGCCTCTTCGTAGCAACGCGTTATGCTGTCTGTCAAGTGTTTTACCTGTTGTTCTAGCTGCTCCGTGGTTTCAATTCTGCCCTTACCGGAGTTGTTTCTTAGAAGGTCCGCCAGTAGTTGTGCGTAGCGGTGTTTATCGATTTTCCGGGGATACCTTTGGGGTGTAGGAGATAGAGTTTCTACCTGTAGTGTAAAGCGGATCCAGCGGTGATCCGAGCATGATGTCTCATCGGAGACATGCCAGCCAGATATGGCCGTTGCCGCTTTTGGTGTCGCGAGGGTCAGGTCTATGATGGTCTTGCACCGTCTGCCTACGAAGGTAGGTTCGTTGCCTGTGTTGATTAACTAGGTTAGTGGTCAGGAGGAATTCAAATAATTGGTTACCTCTGCTGTTGCTTTGTTCCATTCCCCACACAGGATGATGGGCATTGGAGTCTGTCGCGATGATCAGTTCTACGTTTTTCCGAGCACAGAAGCGGACCAGAGACGCAACGTTTTCTGGTGGGGCCCGCTCGCTGTCAGGCATATATGCAGAAGCTATGATCAGGTCACAATTGTTATTATCTTGGTTTAGGGTCACTTTAACAGCGCAGAGATCTCTGGAACAGAAATTCATTAAAGGCTGTGTTCTGATGTTTTTGGAAATGTATATACAGGACCTTACGTCGCTAGTAGTGGCTTGAACGAGCTTACCTCCTAAGCTGGAGAGTCCTCGCACCGTGCCACTCCTAATCCACAGCTCCTGGATTAGTGCGACTGCTGTGTTGTTGGTTTCCAACCACCGCCGAAGCTGAGCCGTATCGGTTACGCTGTGGTGGAGATTTATTTGCAGTATTTTTGCACTACTGCAGAGGGACGCGATCGTCCTGGCAGACGACGTCCTCATGCCACAGCCCGTCGAGCTCCAGGAGACAGTCCTCACTAAGCGGCGAGGACGCCACCTGCGAGGGTCCCGGAACTTCGACAGTCGGTGACGAGGCACGTGGAACGGCGGTGTCCGTGGGGCCAGCGCTGGATGTAGATGGTGTTGGAGGCGCTGGTGTAACGTTCGCTGTAGTTTGAGCCCCGAGTGGTGCTGTGGGGTCAGACGTCGGCGGAGTGTCGACGTACTTCCCCTTGGCGTCCCTAAACTTCAGGTACACCGACCCAAACAGAAAGCTGAGTCGGCGTCCCCTAGCCAGGATCGCAAGCACAATGTCCTCAGGGATCGAAACCACAACGAATGTAGCCCCGATGGTAGGCTGCTGTTGGAGGCCGCTAAGCAGCCAACGTTCGGGTTTCAGCTCCGGATTTCCGATCTGTAGGCATTTGCCTAACAACGCCTGATCGTGCTTCCAGAGCTTGGGCAGCACAAAACCACACCTGACTCTCTTGGGGATCTCGTCGTCCCGGAGGACAACAAGCTCTCCCAGTTCCGAGTCGTGGCGGTCTCGTACCACCTGTCGAAACCAATCAAACGTTGCACGGCGCACCTGATGAGAGCCGAGGAGGCCGCTGCAGCCGCGTAGGATTTCGGGGCGGTCTCGGTCGCCGTCGTCTTAGGCCGTTTGGATTCGCCTCGAGGAGACACTGTCTCAACGAGCCTAGCCCGCTTGGCCCCAGACTTCGTCTTCGCGGGTCCTTTCCCCTTCGGCTTTGGGCGGTCCAGCTTCCGACTCGGGCCCGGCGTCACCTAGGGTTGCTTGGGCAGCTGGCTGCCTTTCGCTCCCCCTGGCGTCCCAGAGCCCTTGTCTTCCGACTGAACTGCCGTCTTTTTCCTGGCCACGACCGTCCAGTTCTGCTCTAGCAGATGTAGGGTGTCCTCAATCTGAGGTGTGGTGGTGCTTTCCTCAAGCAGGCATTCCGATTTTTCGGTCTGCATGCGAGTAGCAGTACCCTCTGGTTTCCCATCGGGTGTTGGCGGAACTTTGAACCTGTTGGTGTCCATTGTTCGTGTTTGTTAAATTCATCCAGTCAGCTTCCCAGCCTCCTTGGAGCCCGCACATTTGGGAGTGCCCATAGTAGTGCACTAGGACTACCAACTGGATATAGGAGCAGAGAGTTGGTGTCAGGTACGACATCGGAAGCTCGAAGTGTGTGGCTGGGTTACCGGTTCAGAGTACCCCAGTTGTTCCACACACTCTTGCCTCGTCAGCTTGACCCTAACCATCCAGAGCGGCAAGCCGCCCTGGACCCCCACTCCTCGCTGCGGCCCTCTGACGGAACGCGTGACCGTTTCCTCTCTGGCGCTACCCAAAGAGGTTTCGGTTGAAATCCGGACCAAAGAGGGCGTGTTGTGTCGCGAAGGTACTACCGCCGACCTCGCTTCACTCAACCCTCCAGGACTCCTTCATCCCCCCTTACGGCGCTCAACTGCGCAGGCCATAGCGCAGGAGAGGCTAATAGTCTACCGGGCCGCCTCCCATTTCCCCGGTAGAGCCGAAGGCCTTTGTTAGGATCGGCCTTAAGGAGTGACAGGATTCAGGATGAGGGAGGAGTTAAACGATTAATTGGAGTTGGAAAGAAGGGAATACGGGTCGCAGGAAGTGTCTCTCATGATGTTGGAGTGCATCAATGGGATAGCATCACTAAATTCAGCTACGAGGATCCCAGGGTAGGTGTTAGTGTACGTTGCCTGTTAGCAGATCCAAGTATTACCGAGGTGAACGGCGTGGACGTAAGAGTGACACTTGACGGTAGACGTGAATTGCCCAACAACGTACACTTGGGCTCACATTAGCCGCCCCTCCCCCCTAAAGCGGGGACAGTAAGCACATGTAAATTAATTATAACAAGGCATTTATCCGGTAAGAATTTATTTAATTTTATAAGAGTGGAATAATTTTCTTCCACTATGTCAAATTCTAGTAAAAATTATAAATATAAGATGATAAATGGACCTAACTTCTAAATTCATGAAAATTCATTGGCAAATAGTTAGAATTTCAATATACAGACAACCCAAAGTGAGTTTGGATTTTGCTTCAACCCTTCTTGCGATTAATAGTTCAATGCCCTACCGGCGAGTCTATTGAGGTAGGTCTCGAGACCGAGTACTTTTTAAATTATTTCGACCTATCTATATTTCTTTAAAACACAATTTGTGTAAATCCCACTCAAATATTTTTTTTTATTTTTCAATATAAAAAACATATTAAACGTCATGACTTAGGTACAAATGCTTGTATTCATCATACAATCATTTGCCCGATGGGGATTTAAACCTGGAACCCCTGAGTAGGTGACACTTTGCAACCTGGCGTCTAACCACTCGCGCCACGGAGGTTGTAAAATATGGACGACACAAGGACAGTCATAGAAAATTATAAATAGGTGGACAAAATTTTAAAAAGGTCCAAGACATAATGCATCTAAACTATGAAGATTATTAAAGCATTCTTTGAGAATGATTAAGACCAAACATTGGATAGTATGTTATTTGTTTTTCCCAAAATCAGATATAAAAATGTCTGATATTATTTCCTATAGCTTTTCTTATCAGAATTTGTCAATTATTATGTTACATAAGATTAGATTATACTTAGACTAAATATTTATCTCTTTATAAATCATTATTTGTAAATGGGAGTGTGTTCTCAGTCTCATAGTAATTACCCTTGTCCTACTTTTGGATGTATCATAAGATAGAAAGAAGTTGTATTTATAACACTTTGCTGTCCCACAACATGAGGCAGTATAAATGTACATCAGTATAAACATCACTCTCTTTGCTACTGGTGAATCAGACGTAACGCCAGCATATAAGGTCAAGGTTTTTACCTAGAACAATAAGTGAGAGGTGGAATGCAAATTGTCTTAAACAGCTTCTAAATTTACACAAAAAAATTTAAGGGAACTTTCTATATACATAAAAAAATTTGCTTATCCATATTGAACGGTTATTAAAAAAAGCAGCATTTCTTATTTCAAATAGAATTATGGTGAACGGAATGGGAATGTGGTGGGTGCAGCTTGCTATCTCCCTCGCAATTATGACGCTTAAAACGATAAGTCACACGCAGTTCCATAGTGCAGACTCTTTTTCGTTTTTGTTGACCTTGCCCTTCCCAAAATGCAATTATGTTATGTAAGGTATGGACTTCATGGTTATTTTTTTTAAGACCGTTCCGACAAATGACTCCACCCCACCTGATGTTAAGTGAAGGTGAAGCCCAGACGCGAAAATAGCTGATACAGCAGTTCTACTTGCCACACCAGCCATCCTCACCCTGCCAGCTTGCATGTTGCTTCTTCACGTCTCTTTTAAAGGATCCCAGTTTGTAAGAGGGAGGGAACAACTGAGCGGGCAGAGCATTCCATTTAAGGATAGTGCGACAAAGAAATGAGTCACCAAATTTCTTTGTACGCGTTGGAATTGTGAACACATTTAGACGGCGACAACGTAGGCCAGCGCGCGTGGTCCTCTGAAGGAAAGGGGAAGGTGGAATTCTTATTCCACCTCTCATTCTTATTCATTCTCTCTTGAGAATTACTCCTCAGAACACTCGCTGTGGTACAGACGATAGAAAGCACTTAGTGACGTCACGTCACGGCGTAATTGAAGAGGCTACGAGGTGTACAGTCCTCGTCGCCTATGATGCGGATCGCGCGCCGCTGTAACCTATCCAAAGCATCGAGCAAGTGCGAGCAATATTCCACGCAGGACCGCACTTGCGTTTTGTACAACAAGCACAGAACTAGGTATCTCATATGGAAATCATTGTTATATTGAGTCTGTATATGTATAATAATGATACAATACACGGAAACAAAAAATCAGCTCTTGTTGACTTTCTGGCCGATTCTTTCTTGGTACAAGGTGTCTTGCCATAGATTTGCGACCCGATAGCATAGTTTTTTGACATTCATAAGAGCTGTTAAGGTAACAACCTCCTATAATTTACTCGAAATTAATTTTAATTTGAATAGAGTCTACTAAGTTATTATTTATTAGGATTCTAAAATTATTCAATGTGCTGTACCATCTGCCGTCGAGCGAGGAGCCTCAAAATAACGGCCAGTCACGTCATCTCGGCTGATCTAAACAAATATCATTTCAATACTGAAGCGTGTCTGAGTGATTATAAATAAAAAAAAAACACAATTTCTGTGTTTAATCAATCATACATCAATAAATGTGAAATAACCACCACTACGCTAAAGTCGTTTAACTTTTTTCCAAAAACAACACTGCAATCTGCAACAGAATTATCTCTAGATAAGATAAAGTGGTGGTTCGTTAGATGATATAAGGGAATTACATTCGTAAAACTCCTAAAGGTCTGGTATTTTTATTAACAGAATATTTACAACACAATGAAGCGCAAAATGAGCGCCAAATCGAAGGAGTTACTGTTGTTCCATTCCATAAAACCATCAGAGTCTGTAGAAATTTTAAATCTTTTCTGACTATAGGAGCATTGTCTTAAGTAACAGTATTTTTAGTGTAGTGCTTCATTAAGAAAATATCTAAATATCAAACTAAGCTTAGTTGATATTGTGTTTACTCAATAAATTACAAACCTACATAATATTGCTACCCCTAAATCGCAGAACCATATTTGTAAAATTTTGGTATGGACACAAATTCTAGGGTTTCAGAGGACAAGTTTTTTTGTCATGAACAAGTTTGTTAGGCCCGTCTCTCAATACAATAAGTAACTTTAAGAACTTAGTTTTCTAAAAGAAAACATTAACATCATTCATCTTTTTAGGCAGTTTTGTAAAAAAAATCAGACTGCTTTATTGTTGCTGTTTAATAAATTATAACAATAACTTGCCCAATACATATTGTCTTGTTATTACAACAACCTTATCTAAAAGTTTTATGATGGTGCAAATCAAAATGTACACTTCAGGTGTTGCCAAAACTTGGCATTTCTTTGCTAGGAGTCGTCTATAAGTGCGGTGTGAATGATGTTTTTGGTATCGCAAGCGTTTATTGGCTATGGATGGTGACCGCTTATCATCATCAGGCGGGCCCAGTGGCGGCGCTAGGCGTCGGCGACATCGGCCACCGCCGACGGCCCTGCGCCTGAGGGGGCCTCACAAAAAGTTTTTAGAAGTTACCTATTTATTTTCGTTTCTCCTGGCCTGGCTTAGGTAGCCGACCCCGAACAATTCGGGGAAAAAGCTAAGTAGATGAAAATGACTTTTATTATTTTCGAACACGTGCGTGATGGAAGCGATTAGTACTTTACAGGTATTCAGAATCGTCTGTCTGGCAACACTATTTTTGTAATTAAATTTCTATGTTTGTAATTATTTTTTGTCATCATTTGATTATCAACAATAAAACTCTCTTACACGTTATTTTATAATTTGGCTCACCTAATTTAACGGTTTTTTATTGCGAAGTAAAATAGGCCTCGCGAACTTGATGTCGCCGACGTCCACATGTGGTCTAGCGCCGCCACTGGGCGGGCCATATGCTTGTTTGCAACTTTTCAACATAAAAAGTGTAGTTTGCTGCAAACGGACATTTGTGTCTTTTGCTGCAAACGGACATTTGTGTCAAAAAAGATTTATTATGTCTAGGCTGTTACAAGCACCGGTGAAGGTCTAGAAGCTACGCCATCGGTTCACAAAACTACGACGGGAGACCTTGTACTGAGAAGAACCAGCAAGAAACACAGCAAAGGCTGTTTTTGAAGTTATACTTCTTTAGGCGCGTTATGAAAAAATGATGAGAGTGAAATTTTAAGATGCGCGCGCATCACTGTAACACAAAATTATAACAGTTACTTTTGTGTTTACCGCACATTAAGAAAATCTACCAACAAAATAGAAATAGAATCTCCATTTAGTGGGTGCTAACGACTGCATTGTGAAGGCCTATCAAAAGTATTTATTAATCTGGAACAACGGAACCAAAGCGCGATTCAGGAGACTACAGCGCCATCTCTTGACCATTGGTGTAGTAGAACCAAAAACCACATCTTTATTTTTTGTAATAAAGTAACAGTTATAGGTATTCATATTTATAATATCAAAAGTATTTATTAATCTGGAACAACGGAACTAAAGCGCGATTCAGGAGACTACAGCGCCATCTCTTGACCATTGGTGTAGTAGAACCAAAAACCACATCTTTATTTTTTGTAATAAAGTAACAGTTATAGGTATTCATATTTATAATATTTATCCACATGTTTCTAGTTTGTATATTCGGAATACGTGTTTGAGTTTCATACAAGTGCAAATCACATATGTTCTAATAAATTATATTCAGTAGCGATTTTAATTGAATATTTTGATTATTTATTTATTTTTTCAAATTAAAACTGAACTTTATTGACTGTGTCCTTTTCCAGACTTTTTATTAATTTATTGTAATTAATTATTTGCATGCAATTAAAAACTAATTTTAAACGATGCCAAAGAAGGATAACTTCTCACGCGCCTACATAAGTACCCGCACCCATTTTTATTTTTTTTCTCCCTGTATTATTTAGACAGAGTCGTCAAGTTGGAATATGACCTTAGAGATATTTCTGAAATCACCTTTCATTACATTATTTACAATAAAGATATATAGTTACAACAATAGTTAGTCTCCATAGCCTTGACCATCGAAGACGTGTAGCTTGCCTATCGGTTACATTTCGGAGAGTAAGCGGAGGTATTACATAATTTGATCCCCCTTCCCCTTTCCACGACCGGATGACCAGGCGCGGCGAGGGCTTTCATCCTTATGTTGTCGAAGTTCATCCCATTCGCACGAAGCGATTTGCTTTCGCTTTCATTATGCGATCGGCTAGGGAGTGGAACTCCTTGCCGAGGTCTGTTTTCCCGAACAAATATAATACGGAACTTATTATACAGTGCAATACTTCAACCATGCATATGTTAGGTATATTTTCATAAATGTATTGCGATGCCAGTGTTAAAATATTATTTTCTCTAAGAGAGAATTTCTTGCCTTCAAGTTGTATATGACGCGAAAAGCTCTTTTTGCAGTATGGAAATACTATCGATATTAGCAGCTGAGCTCTTACACAAATTGAATTGAATTAGAGTAAGCCTCAAGGTATCAATTTGGGGATCCCATTGCAGATGTTAAGACTTCTAGACTTAAAGTGTTATTTGTCTTCACAGAGAAGTACGAGCTAGTGGGGCGTCTATTGAAGCCGGGCGAAGAGCCCACCAACTACTCGGATGAGGAGACGGAGGACACCGACTCCCCCGCCTCCACGCCCGCCGACAAGAAGCGGGACTAGACTACCGCCCACATATGTATACACCTAGGTTGTACCTACAGTGCAGCCGAGGCCATGCCAGTGGAGTATATAGCTCTTATTGCCACGTAATAAAGGCACTGTTAATTTGGGGTTGCATCCACTGCCACGCCCGCGCGAATGGACAGAAATAGCTCTTATTGCCACCTAGTAAAAGCGCTGTTAATTGAAGGCTGCCTCCACTGCTGAGGCCTCGACTGCACAAACGTATTTCTATGTTGTTCGCAGCCAGAGATCATTTTAGTGGCCATAAAAATAACCTTAGTATTTATATCTTTTTGCACGTTTGTCATCCATTTTTGATGATTGCCTGTTGAAATGTAAAATTCTTATTGAAAATATCTATTTTAAACACAATGCTTTGGCTGTAGAGCAGAAGATTAAATTTTGGAGCATATAGTCGTAACTTACACATAAAATATTGTAACACTTTTGGTGTGAATATATTTTATTTAATAATGGACATTGATGCTCTGTAATTAAGGAAGGAATTCTTCATTGTCGATTCGATACTAGCGAACTGCTCGACTTTCTGTGATTGTACCCTTTGTTTTTATAAAAACGGCGCACGTTTGAAAATATTTCATTGAGCATTTAATGTTCACAGTGAACTCTGAACATTAATTGTCAATATATTTAAAACTGCTTTAAAATGGATATGTAAATTGTGTAGACATTGGCTTCAGTAACTGCGAATATTTAATGAGTTAAGTTTTTAAATGTTCAAATTGTTACTTCAGTCTAGAATGATCATGACCAAAAATGCACAACTATTTCAATATGTTTGAGTTTTTATGTAGCGTTGGAATTTCGACGTAATTTAAACTTAAGCTGCCTTTCATAAATTCGAGAAGACCTCAAATGACGCGGTGGTAATAACAGCTATGCGGATTGTTATAGCATAATACCAGCCTTACAGCGTTTGAACATAGCAGGAATGAGCGATATGATTAAATTCAAATCATAGCGATGCATCGTGTGTGCTTAAAATTGTATCTAATACAACACGAGACGTCGCATCGTAAATTAGTGTGCGCGGAACCTAAGTGTTA